GTTTTATCAACTGAAGATGATAGAAACTAAGTTTCCTAATCAACATTGTTTTATTTTGCCTTTTAAGTAAATTTAAAAAATTGTGGTGAAATATACAGAATATGCAGTTTTTAACCATTTTAAGTTCAGTGGCATTAAGAATGTTCACATTATAATGCAGACCATCACCTCTGTCCACTTGCAGAACTTGTTCATGATCCCATGCTGAAACTCTGTACCCACTTACTGTATTTAACTATTCTGGGTACTTCGTATAAGTGGGATCATACACTATCTGTCCTTCTGTGTTTGCCTCATTTAATTTAGTATAATGCCTTCAAGATTCATCCATGTTGCAGCATAGATCAGAATTTCCTTCCTTTTTAAGGCTAGATAAACTTGCCTTCCATAAATATACTATATTTTGTTTATCCATTCATCCATTGATGGGCATTTGGATTGCCTCCACCTTTTGGCTATTGTGCACAATGTTGTTATGAACATTGGTGAACACTGGTGTATGAGTATCTGTTTGAGTCCCTGCTTTCTGTTCTTTTGGGTATTTATCTACAAGTGGAATTGCTGGATCATATGGCAATTTTATGCTTTTTTTTTTTTTGAAGAACAACCATACTGTTTTCCACAACTTCTATACCATTTTACATTTTCACTAGCAATGCACCAGGATTCCAGTTTCTCCATATCCTAACCAACACTTGTTATTTCCTGATCTTTTGATATATAGCCATCCAAATGGGTATGAAGTGGTATCTTACTGTAATTTTGATGTGCATTCATTCACCCAGTGACTATTGATGTTGAGTGTATTTTCATGTGTTTATCAGCCATTTGTATATCTTCTTTGGAAAAATGTCTATTTAAGTCCTTTGCCCATTTTTGAATAAGTTGGATTTTTTTTGTTGTTGAATTGTAGAATTTCTTTATATATTCTGGATAGTAATCCCTTATCAGATATATGATTTGCAAATATTTGTCTCACATTCTGCGTTTCCTTTTTGCTTTGTTGATAGTGTCCTTTGATGCACAAAATTTTTGATTTTGATAAAATCCAATTTGTTAATTTTTTCTTTGGTTACATACGCCTTTGGTGTCATATCTAGGAAATCATTGCCAAATCCAATGTCATGAAGATTTTCCTCTGTTTTCTTCTAGGAGTTTTATAATTTTAGCTCTTACTTGTAAGTCTTTGATCTATTTTGAATTAATTTTTATATATGGTATTAGGCACTGGTCTGTTGGAGAAGAAAATTTTTTCCTCTACCCTTCTAGGTTTTCAGCTCATCTAATCAGATTGACCTAAGGGATTAATAGGAGGGGGAAAAAAACTAATTGTGCATTTATGGGGGTCCCACAAGGACAGTGAGATGCAAAGACAAGTTGGGCAGTTGACTTACACACTCCTCTGAGCAAAGGAATGGGGTAGGGGCCTGGGGCTTCACTGTGGAGGAGGGTCATTCACAGGATGATAAGATGAACAGATGTGTAGGAGTCAGGTGTTTGTTCTCATGCAGATACTTCATTCAGCTACAAAGTTGCTTATCTTTCTGGGCCAGGCTCCCATCTAAATTCTTTGAGGTAATTAAGAGAGGGGTAAAAGTTTTTCTTGCATCTGCTGGGTATTGATTGCCTTCAGCTCAAAATAGTCTACATGCCAAAGTGACATTTGGGGGAGGCTCATTCTGAACCCCTTCAGGTCTAACTTTATTATTTTGAATATGGATATCCAGTTTTTCCATTGCCATTTGTTGAAAAGGCTGTCCTTTCTTCATTTCATGATCTTGGCACTCCTGTTAAAAATAATTTGACCATATATGTGAGGGTTTATTTCTGGGCTCTTAGTTCTATTCCATTGGTCTATGTGTCTTTTCTTATATCAGTGCCACACTGTTTTGTTTACTATAGCTTTGTAGTAAAATTTGAAATCAGGAAGTGTGAGTCCTTCAACTTTGTTCTTCTTTTTCAAGATTATTTTGACTCTTTGAGGTCCCCTGAGATTCCATACAAGTTTTAGGATGCAGTTTTCTATTTCCACACACACACACACACACACACACAAAACTAATTTAACTAGGGATTGCACTGAATTGTAGGTCACTTTGGATTGTGTTGACTCTTAATATTAAGACTTTAAATCTGTGAACATGAGATATCTTTTCAATTATTTAAGTCTTCTTTAATTTCTTTCAGCAATATTTTGTAGTTTTCACTGTTTGAGTTCTTCACTTCTTTGGTTGTGTGAATTCTTCAGTATTTTCTTCTTTTTTTAATGTTATTCTAAATTGGATTTTTCCTAATTTTCTTTCCAGATTGTTCATTATTTGTGGATAGAAATACGATTGACCTTTGAGTGTTAATTTTTTATCTTGTAACTTTGCTGAATTTATTAGTAACAACAGGGTTTGTGTGTGTGTGTGTGTGTGTGTGTGTGTGTGTGTGTGTAATCTTTAGGGTTTTATACATATAAGGTCATGTCATCTGTGAAAAGAGATAATTTTATTCTTCTTTTTCAATATGGATATCTTTTATTTCTCTTTCTTGTGTAATTCCTCTACCTAGAACTTCCAGAACTCTGATAAATAGATCTGAGGGAAACAGGCATCCTTTTCTCATTCCTGATCTTAGAGGGAAAACTTTCAACCAATCTTTCATTATTATATTGAAGGTGTTTCCTTCTAGTCCTAGTTTGTTGAGTGTTTCATCATAAAAAGATGTTGAATTTTGTCAGATGCTTTTGCTGTATGATTGAGATGATCATGTGATTTCCCCCTTGAAATCTGTTAATGCAGTGTATTATAATCAATTGATTTTTGTATGTTGTAACTATCCTTGCATTCTGGGAATTAATCCCATTTGGTCATGGTGTATAAATCCTTTTAGTATGCTGTCAAATTCAGTTTGCTAGTATTTTCTTTTTTTCTTTTTTTGAGGATCTTTGCATCAATATTGATAGAGATATTGGTCTATAGTTTTCTTTTATTGTAATAATATCTTTATCTGGCTTGGTATCGGGGCAATGATGGCCTCATTGAATGAGTAAGGGCGTATTCTCTTCTCTTCAATTTTTGGTAAAAACCTGAAATGGATTGGTGTTAATTCTTCTTCAAGTGTTTGGTAGAGTTCACTAGTGAAGCAATCTGGTCCAGGCTTTTCTGTGTTGAGATATTTTTGATATTAATTAAATTTCCTTACTAGTTATAAGTTTATTAGATTTTTCTATTTTTTCATAATTCAGCATAGAGCACAGCCAGGTATGTTTATTCTTTGCTATTTGTTGAGTGGATGAATAAACAAAGATGTTGTATGTTAGGGATGGAGGCAGGCTAAAGGGCTAAGCCTGGAGGCTGAGGCACTGCCTACAGAAGGAGAAACAGTAATAACAATGATAATGGTGACCATTTATCGAGTCTTTACTATTTGTGATGTGTTATACACATTGCATGCATTAATTCATTTAATCCTCATGAAAAGCTGTGAGGTGGATGTTATATTTCCCCACTGAGGAAACTGAAGCTCAGAAAGGGCACCTAGCTTGCCCATGGTTACACAGCCAGTAAGACACAAGGACTCGCAGGCAGCGTTTCCAGCCTCTCATAGTAGGAAGGTGCAAGCAACGGATTTTTCCTTCTATCACAGCTGTGCTCAGGGTCAGTCACTGCCTTAGGCACTGTGTACTGAAGTTCAAAGCATAAAAACCTGACTGTCCTTGAAAGTGTAAAAGATGGGAAGGATCTGGTGGCTGATCAAGGAACAAGATATGACCGTGAGGCAGCAGTAGCACACAGTCTTTATTTGGCTGATGCTTTAACACATTTGCATGTAGGGGAGCTCCCTTACGATAGGAGACCCTCCAGGCTACAGTGTGGGGACCTCCAGTCAGACAAGGAGAAGAGCAAGGGGACTCCCAGGGGAGACGGGGTCAGAGAAGGGGCTTACATGTCTAGGTGATGTCACTCAGGAGCCTCTGGGTCAGAGAACTTGGAAGGGCGGTGATGGCTTGAGGTCTTTTGAGCCACAGGGTCCATCTTATCTGTGGCTAGTTAATGTTGGGCAAGTATCATAGGTTATGCAAAGCAGACAGGTTCTAAATCTGCTTATTTGGGGTTGAGGCTTAGCAGACACACCTCACTATATATAAAATAGATAAACAACAAAGACCTACTGTATAGCACAAGGAAGTATATTCAATTTCTTATAAATAACATTCAATGGAAAAGAATATGAAAAGAAAAAAATATATGTATGTATATGTATAACTGAATCACTTTGCTGTACACCTGGAACTAACCCTATATATCAACTACAGTTCAGTTAAAAAAAATCTACATATTTGGGCTATGTTTAAGACAATTGGAAGGGTACAAATTTGAGTTTGGCGTTATCAGGATTTTGAGTTAATGGGTCCTAGCCTTCTTTGCAGATGTAAACAACCTAGGAACCAATATACAAAGGCCATATTTTGGCTCATTAGTATAACCCTCAGGGAGTTTTTAAGCCCTAAGAGAGAATCAGGCCAACATTACAGGCCCCTAGAAACCCATCCAGAGCTGCAGCAGCCCTGTTACACAGGGCGCTTCAGGAAAGGAAATGATTTGCTTAAGATGACCCCTAAAAAATGTAGAAATTAAATAAACAATTCTAAATAGAAATGTCAATAAATTTAAGCAACAAATTTTAATCAGAGCCCCCTGAATAAAAAGTAAATAAACAAATAATGATATTAGTTAGAAGACTTTTTTTTTTCCCTCTCAGTGCATTTGCTTGATGAGACTTTAGAAAGTCCAGGCGCCTCTCTAGAGCTGACCAGGGCCGCGTATGTGCAAAAGTGGGCCTGAGCTTGGGGCGCATCGGAGGGGACTCATAATCATAGCAGCTGACAGTCGCTCACCCTTACTCTGTGCCAGACTCTGCGCTTTTCAGAGTGTGGTCTGCGGATCAGTGCTGATCCATGATTTGTTTGTTAATGGTCTGTGACAGTGAGTCTAGAAGTGGAGAAAAAGCACTTGGATCTAACGTTGCTCCAGCTTCCAAGCGTTGTTCTAGCACTTCACCTTCCTTGCATTTCGTAAAAGCACCCGCCCAAGTCTAAAAAAAGAAAAAAACAGAAACAAAAACAGGTCGTTTACATCAGATAGTTTGAGAAGCACTGTTCTGCAACATTGTTATTTCCAAAGGACCGATGAGGAAACAGAGGCTCAGAGGGATGAACTATTGCCCCAGTTTATACAGTTGGCAAGAAGGTGCTGGGATTTGAATTCAGGTGAGTGAACTTCTGGTCTGTGGTCTCGAGGGCCATGCTGTGAGCCCTGAGATGCTGTACCTCCCCCGATCGCGATCATGTGGCTGCAGCGACTCTGAGCGGGGTCCTTCCATTCAATGGCTCCAAAGCCCTTTCTAGAACTTGAGCTGAACTGTTACCGGGCAGGAGGTAGGCAGGGAGCTGCTGGTGGGGTCTGGCCACTGGGGTTGGGAAGGTGAGGGCAGAGGCATTTGGGTTATTCATCACTTGAGGCCAGGAAGCCAGGGGTTCTAGCCGCAGAAACGAGGGCTTCAGCACTTCACACTAATTACTGTGGTTTCACAGCTGTGATCAATTCACATTTTCTCACTTTCTGCTCAAGCCTGGTCTACAGGGACCGATGTGAAGAGGTGTAAAAATAAGTTCTGTTTCCAGCCAGATTAATGATGGGCTCTGCCGAGGCCGCCGTGCGCCTGCCTGGCCTGCAAGATGGATTGGCTCAGGCCCCCCCAAGGCCAGCTGCAGGAAGGCCACGCTGGCCGGCACAGGGCTGCCCGAGGGGGCACAACTGAAGCCAAGAGGCAGCCACCCTGCCCAGAGCCTGGTCGTGACTTGGTCTGCAGCCCCCACTTGAAGGCCCTTCCTCCCTTTCCCCACCCACCCAGCTCAGTGATGAGCTGGGAAGATGCAAACGAGACAAGTCTGTAAAACACCCAGGACAGGAAGCAGGAGGTCGGTGATGCCCAGCAAAGGTAGCTGTTACTATTGTTAGTGGTATTATTAGCGCTACTTACTTTTATTACTAATTTTTGTAAACACCTCTCTCTTCCTACTAAACATTGAGCTCTTTGGGAGTGGGGACCGTTCCTAATTTCCTCTTGTCCCTGGGACCTCGCCTGGTGCCGGGCACACCATAGATGCTCTGTAAATGCTTGTTGACTGAATACACCAGTTTATTAAATCAACTCCAGTTCCCATTATTTCCTCCTTCTAACGCCTTCATTCCACTTGTTGCTGGCTTTCTTCCCCCATGATATCCACGCCCTGTAAATAACTCACTCGTCCCCAGGCGGGCTTGCCCCACTATACCTGGGAACCTGGCCTCCAGTCCCTTTGTTAAGCAAAACAGCTTTCAGTCAGGGATGCCCCTACCCTTTCTGTTCGTTCACATGTATCAATTCAGTCCATCATGAGTGAGCACCTGTTTGGATCAGGCACTGAATTAACAGCTGGAGGACACAGTCCCCGCCTTCATGTTGTGTTCTGATTTGGGTGAGCACACAGCAGGGCCCCGATCCCAGGCTTGAGGGGCTGGGGAAGAGGTCCCAGAGTGGGGAGGGTGGCTTAGCTGAGGGCTGTGGGATGAACTGGAGGAGGGGAGAGAGGGGCTGGGGAGGTGAGCAGGAACCAGACAACAAAGGCCTTGTGAGTCCTAGCAGGAAATTCAAACTTTATTCTGGAACCGGTGAGGAAAGTCGGGTGGGGTGGGGGCGACACATGTGAGAAAGAGTCGGGAGGCTGACTCTATTGGATTTGCAGTGTAGACGGCTCACTTTCACTGCAGAGTGGGGGATGGACTGGAAGAGAGAAAGCCTGGGGGACAGAGATAGAGGTTAGATTTTGGTATATTGGGTTTGCTTCTACGAACAGCCTGAAAATCCAGCACCCTCTTGGCTGCCACAGCCAGAATCCTGACAGGCTTTTTTTTTTTTTTTTAACTGAACAAACAGCTGCACAAACTCTGATCTAATCCACAAACTACTTAAATAAATTATGTGTGTCAGTACTCCAAAGGCAGGCAATATGGCACATGTATTTCATAAGGCGGTGAGTGAGGGGGCCGTGGGCATCACCCACTGTGTGTGTGTGTGTGTGTGTGTGTGTGTGTGTGTGTGTGTTGGGGCAGAGCTCAAGTCAGTGTGCAGTCCTTGCATGAATGGTTTTCAAGCTGCTCACTGAATTATGAAGTCAAGAAATGACACCTCTGAGAAACAGCTATGGAGATTGGCACTCCACCTCAAGTCAAGAAGTCGCAGATGGTGGGGCAGAGGGGAGGCCGGGGGCTACTTACAGCCTCCTGTGTGTAAAGAGACAGATTGCGGGTGACAGAGGTAAACCAGGTTTCCTATTCCTGCTGACAACAGGGGATCAATACACTTAAAATTCAATTGTTGGAATGAAATATTTTGGCTGAAACGAAGTTTTCCTGGGAATTTGTGAGGTCTCCTTTGGGGTGTCCTGAGGGAGAGGACAGGGAGTGGCTTCCTGAGAGCAGGAGTCCCTGCCCCCGCTGGGAAGGCAACTCAGCCTGAAAGTGGCCAGAACGATCCAGGTCGTCCTGCAACAACCAGAATGGTCCAGAATGACCCAGAGCTTGCAGGGAAGCTGCTGCCACGGCCAGACAAAGGATAGGGGCAGATGGGGAGTTGACACCTCGAGACAAAGGTTTGGGTCATCCCAGAATGGGCTGAAGTGCGCTGAGCACCAGCTGTGTGCCGGGCGCCGGCCGAGGCATCTGCCCTGCCTGGTTTTACTGATGCCTCCGAGCAACGTCTTGTGATCAAACTACGGATAACCCCAGTTTACAGAGGAGCAAACCGAGGCTGAGATAAGCTAAGTAGCTATTCTACGTCCCCGGGGTAAGTCCGTTCGGGGGTTCTGTAGCCTTCAGCCTCAGTCTGCTTCTTCCTTCTGGGGAAACACGTGGATGGGGGAAGGGGACTGGGCGGACTGGACTCTCTCCAGCAGCAGCTCTGGGACAAGATGGCCTAGATGTCAGGGGCCGTCCTGGCTCCTGTCCTGGTTGCCGAGCCACCACCCAGCACCCGTCTAATGAATTTCCTTGGGCTGATGTTAGCCAGAATTCTGTCCCTTGTAGCTGGTGAGCACTGGCTGACAAAACTGCAGGTTGGCCAGCAGAAGCACCCGGGTTTGGATCCAGGCGACCTGACTCCGAAGCCTCTTGATGGCTCCAGACTGTGCCCGGGGGCAGAGCTGCCTCTGTGCTCCCCTCATGTGGAAGGAAGAGACCCTGCAAGAGCCCAGGAGACTCTCTGGGAGTTGCCCAAGAGCCACGGCTGCTCTGCCCATCAGTGCGTATTGACAGCTAAGATTCCAAGTTTCCAAATTACGTGCTCACCTTCCCGCTTACATCTTCGGAGTGTTTATTTCTTATGAGTGAAGCACAGGGGTGGTGACCTCAGTCCCGTCTCCTAATGGTTATGCCCCTGCTCAGGCCAAGAGTTCAGCCCTTAGAGTGGTTCCCGGAAGCCACAGCCAGAGCCCACCTTACCCTCAGCTCTTTGCTGGGACTTGCCTTCCCCACAGAGTCCATTGGCTTCTTTGCTCCCTCCCTCCGCTCCTAAGCTGTGGTGTGATGCCGTGCACGGTCAGCAGCTTCCTGCCTGCCCTCTGTCCTGGAAGGAAGGCTTAGTTCCGAGGTGAAGGAATGTGGCGTTTCGGGAAGCCCGTGGGAGACAGAGTGGTTGGGGCTGCACTTGAACTTGCCTGTGAGAGGTTGGTCTCACTCTGCTGCCTCCGTGCAATGATTTTCCTCTTGTGTTAGCGTCTCTGGTTCCCCTAAAGATTGTCCCGCCCAGTTGGCCAGATCTGCTCACAGGCAAGCCGATTTGGTCAGGAAAATGCCAGTTTGATCATTTTCTAGCCTGGTGTGTTTCCTTTGCCCAACCTGAGTTTCTTCCGTCTGACTCTGAATTTTTTCCTATTTTTCCTGGCTTGTTGCACGGCTCGCTGGCCCATCTCTTGGGCATGAGGCTTCCTCGAGTGCAGCATACTGTGTCCTGGGAAGCCAGCAGGGAGGCCTGAGGTAGAAAATGGGAACTTTTTTAAAAAAAAAAAACCCATTTACTTCAAGAGCAAGCAGGCTCTTGAATTTGTGATTCAGCGAACTCATCCAGCAATGTGGAAGAGATTAGTTCTCCATTACTCCAAACTTGAAAAGCAAAATAAATACTAATGGACCGAAGCAATCAGTTCATTAATCTTACGATGCCGTTTCTTTTCTTTGATACCCTGTATAATTGATTACATTCTATTTACTTTTATTTCATTTTTGAATAAGTGATATATGCACATGGTTTACAAATCTGTAAGTATAAAAACTTTGTGTAGCGATAAATTTCCCTCCCAGCTTTGTTCCTCATCTGCCCTGCCCCACACAGTCACAAATTTTAATGTTTTAAAATGACTAAAGTCTATCTTTCAGACTTATATTTGTTCTCTCTTAGGCTTAGTTTTAACTTAATTTTATCTGACAGATTTAAAAAAGACTCTGTTTTCTCACATTATCTGCTGAGATGATCAGTGCTTTGAAAATAAAGAAAGTTACTAACAGAGAGCCTGGCAATCTTTGAAATTCTTGTCTCGGGTGTTTTTACAAAGCAGTCTCCGCTGATTTCAGATGACCTGATAGGAAGTTTTGTGTCTCAAAATCCCAGAAAGATTTGTTGAGTGTCCACCTGAATCTTAAGGAACGCAGATCAATGGCCGATACCATGGAAAAGTTACCCGCAGTTGCACTCACATGTTACAAGCCCTAAGGAGAATCTCTGGCCAGTCATGCCCTTTGTCCACTCAGTGTTCAAACCGTCAGCAGCAGCATGTGACCAGAGAGAAGTCAGGGGCGACTGTCTCCTTGGGAAATGCCTTCAGTTGGGATCAACAAATATGTCCTTCGCATCATCACTTACCACGTGCTGCCCAGGTCAGTGAAGGGCAGAAAATGGCTGAAAGGTGGTTCGAAAGTTGGATGTTTTGGCTGGAAGTGGGTGTGGAGAGGAGGAGAGAGAAAGAGAGAGAGAGGATGGGAGAGAGAGA